GTGGTGTAGGCACAAAAGGCACATGGTTTGCACTGGCTGCTGTTGTCTGGGCCTGGGTTGCTGCAGCTGCACCAAATGCTGCAGCAATCTCTGCAAACTCACTCTGTCTTGCTCCTTCCTCACCCTCTGACTTCAATACTTTTATCTTCTGGATCATTTCCTTTATTTCATACCTGTGATATTCAGGAGGACAAATAAAAAACCAGGTGAATAGACTGCAGGTAGCACTCAAAAATATAACTTGAAAAGAATGAATTGAAAATCATTGAGAAACAAATTGCCAAACTGCTGGATAAAGGTATAGAGTGTACAATTTACAGTACTGTATATAGAATCCCAGGAAAAAGTATTAGCTTCAAATGATTTCTCCTGAAAGATTGTATTCATTGAAAATTGTTTGGAAACAGGTTAAATATATTGTGCTGACTATAGTTGCATTGTGCTGGGATTTTTGTCACAAAAATCATAATCCATGGATTTGTATATATAGTTTATTTTCTTTCAATATCCTCATATATTTTACTGGAGTGAATTATTACTTTTTTGTTAGATCAGAATGTGTAAAACAAATTTATGGGGAAGATGTGGAAACACTTTTGAATGTTGACAATTGGCAATTAAAGCATGTACATAAACAAATCAATCAAAGTAAGTTGAAGAAAATCCTAATGTAGAGAATATGTAATTTTGTCTTATGTTCAATCTTGGAATTCCTCCCTTCAATCTAGAAATTAGAGATTTTAAAGATCTTCTTTATTTTTTGTAAAACGCTTTGCATCATCTCTTTTTACTTGGCAGTGCTCATATTTTAACATGAAATTTTTCAGTAGTTCGACACCCCAAAAAAATTGGATTGTCTCACCTCAGGAGACCCAGAAAGCATATCTTGACAAAGGCAATGACGCAGAACCCCAGGACGAACAGAGCATCTGCACTCTTGGACACCCACTTGGCCAGCTCTGGGCCACATCCGTCCAACCGCGGCTCCAGTTTGGGTGCCAAGTCAGCGTCCAAGCAGGTGAAGTTGAGTGTGGGCGACACCTTCTGATTCAGACGGCGACTCGCGCTCGAACCATCACTTTGTCGCATGGACAGATGTCGCACCATGTGCGCGCCTGTCCTCTGCCAATGTCTGTGGCGATGCGTGGCCCTTGTTCTGCGTTTCTTTCTAGTCTGGAAACCATCTCCTCCTCCTTCTTCTTCCTCCTCCTCCTCATCATCTTCATACTGCGCATCATACTCTCTACGGTAACTACAGAAACAATTTTTATAAATAAATCTCTTGCTCCCAGCAGCACAAAAAGAACAAAAGGACCACAGTACTCCATCAGTACAGTGCTTCAAATCACAGCATTTGTTCCTGCTGCTGCTTCCAGTATTGAAGTGGGATTCAAGGAAGGAACAATGAAAACCAAATCTTTGTCACCGTCACAATCAAATGCCTGGGGCTAGAATATTTCAAGTTTTCATCAGGCCTCAATAAGCAAATGTATATATATATATATATATATATATATATATATATATATGTCTCCTGCCTATTTATGTGAGCTTCAAGCGATACGAATACAGAAACATAGTTCTTTGAACCGTTCGCCCTTTAAATCACACGCNTATATATATATATATATATATATATATATATATATATATGCCTCCTGAAAAGTTTTACCCTCTAACATGGGATGTGTCATCTTGCATAGAGAAATTCAACAAAATCATAATAAACTCTTCAGTGCACAAATATTACAATTTTAATGAAGTGGGTGAAGTGAATTTCATATATATTCAACATCAAAAAAGGAGAGGCCAACCTGATGATCCAGGTTAAAAAAAAACATTGAAATATCCATGGAAAATAAACTTATGCACATGAGTGAAATTTGAAAACAAGCAAATGCCTGGGCTGCAAAATATCTAGTTTTCAGGTCTCAAACAAGTGTTAAATTGTCCCTCCTAGACAGTTTCCCCACTTCATCATTGGATGCTGTGTCATCTTGCATAGATAAATTCAACAAAATCATAGTTAACTCTCAAGTGCACAAATAATAAAATGTTGATATAGTGGGTGAAGTGAATTTCAGATATTTTCAACATCAAAAAAGGAAGGGGCCCGCCTGATCCAGGTTTAAAAAAAACAATTGATTCAAATGTCAATGTCAAACAAGTTGTGCACATGAATTCATCAATCAGTTATATATAGTTGATTGCAAGTGGCCATTGTACTGATGAATACATCCAGAAATGCTCATTTTATTGTTCTCTTTTCTCATCTCACCTCTTATTATCCCCAAGTGGGGCATCATCAGGGTCATCCAGGTGACCACTAGCAAAACTTCTAGGAGTAGTAGTAGGGGCAGATAATTGCAGAGGCAAAGCCTGACTGGGATGGCAACAAGTAGCAGGCACATGAAATGTCAACATGCCCTGGTGCTCAGAGCCTGGGGCCACTGCAGCAGCTGTCCCAAAGACTGAGGTGGCAAATGCCAGGGTTGCATTATAGTCCAGTGGGCCAGCTACTCCACAGCACTCAGACTCCACCTGCAGCCTGTCCCAGCGCCTTGTGAACTCTGCATCTGTGCCATAGGACTGCTGCAACTGGTGCTGCAACATGGGCAACATGTCCCTGCATATCCTGTCATACCTGTAATCATTTTTAACACTTCTCATCAGCAACCATGTACAGTACAGTACATTACAATACTAACATAATTAAAAAAATGTTTGTCCAAGTGATACAGCTTTAATCACTCATAGGCAAATCATTGTTTTTCCCCCCTCATCAATTGACATTTCAATTCAACCCAAAGTTTTTTAGCACCAGTAAGGCATAAATGGAAAGATCATGACACTTTTTCACATGGAAATATTTTCATCAGACCTTCACCTGAGACATCATCACAGTCAAGTTTTATGAAATGATTCTTTAGATACTGAATTAAAATAATGAGACAAATTTAATTTTTTATTTGTGGGAAAAATTATAATTAAAAATTTTTGAAAATTACAGAAAATGTATTTCTAAAAAAAAGAAATATTTAAAAAAAATTCTAGAATGAACACATTCTTTAAAGCTTGTAAGACGGATGGAAATTCTATTCAAAACTGGAAAGTTTTCCCTTACTGTTTTGCAGCAAATCAAAAAACTTGAAAAAATCCCAGAACCTAAAATGTGGATGATAGCTCAATGGTGGATTTAATTTTTATTTTTTCAAAGTGGTACCTATAGTCTAGAAATACCCAAGGTCCATCAGAAATGGGACAAGCCTATTACATACTGTACATGGAGAATAAACTGTTGCTCATGGGACCAAATAAAAAATAAATAAAAGAAAAAAATTATCTTAATAATAACGTAATTTTTTTTTCTTCACAAAAACAATATACAAATGAATGGTCAATAAGTCAAACGTCACACTGCACCTGATGATCCACACGACCCCGACCCCCAAGTCCCCCAGCAGCAAGCCCAGCAGCATGAACCAGTACACGTTGAGCAGGCGTTCGTTCAAATGCCTGGCCGCGTAGCAGCCCACGGCCTGCACGACCCCGGCCTGTACCAGCACCGCCGCATACGCGTACACCAACGTCGGCTGGTAGAACCGCACGTGCGGCACAAAGGCCAGTCGGTGGTCAGCCAGCACGGTGCCCGCGTAGCAGACAAACACGGCCACGGCCAGGAGCAGCACGAGGTTGCAGGCGTAGATCCACAGGCAATAGTAGCGCATTGCGGCACCCACACGCTGGGCCACAGCCTGCCAACACGCCCACACCTGCATCCGAAGGAAGCCCCTCTTTTTTTTTTCTTTTTTTTTTTTTGTGTGGGCAGCAGCTGCTGGCACCAACCCAACCAACCACACACCCCTTATTTAAATGCAGCTGCTGTGCTGGCAGCAGCAGCACCCAACAGAGACAACACAGAAGAGTGTGCACCACTGCTGATGGTTCCTCTCTCTGGTGGTGATGGTGGTGGTGGTGATGGTGTGGGATGATGACAGGATGTCCTGCTGTTGCTGCTGCTGATGATGATGATGTGTCTTCATGCTGGTCCTGATGGTGCTTCAATATTGCACCATTTTCACTATATACTGTGCCACCAACAGCAAAACAAAACAAAAAACCCACTATGCTCTTTTATTTCACCATATAGTCATTCAAATGAAAAAAACCTGTAAATATATAGATGCATGTACAGTAATGTACTTCATCAGAGACAATAAGAAGACACCCCAACATCAACACTGTACTGTACACATTGAAAAATCACCCTCACCAATTAAAAATTGAATGCACTTTCAAAATCACCAATATAGCTCCTCTCACTCCAGTATTGATGGTGCTAGAGAACATGTTCAGCTACTGATGATGGAGCCTTATTGCACCATTTTCACTGTGACAAAAAGAAAACACTATGTTTTTTTATTTCACCATAGTCATTCGAATGAAAAAAAAACTGTAAATATAGATGCATATACAGTACAGTAATTTGCATCATCAGAGATAATAAGAAGACACACCAACATCAACACTGTACTGTACCTTCAAAAAAATCACCCTCACCAATTAAAAATTGAATACACTTTCAAAATCACCACTATAAGCTCCTCTCACTCCAGTATTAATGGTGCTGGAGAACATGTTCAGCTATTGATGATGATGGAGCCTTATTGCACCATTTTCACTGTGCCACAAAAAAACACTATGCTTTATTATTTCACCATAGTCATTCAAATGAAAAAAACCTGGAAATATAGATGCATATACATTAATGTGTATCATCAGAGACAATAAGAAGACACACCAACATTTACACTGCTGTACTGTACTGTACCTTCAAAAAATCACCCTTACCAATTGCAACTTGAATAAACTTTCAAAATCACCACTACCACCACTATAAGCTCCTCTCACTCCAGTGTTGATAGTGCTAGAGAACATGTTCAGCTACTGATGATGATGGAGCCTTATTGCACCATTTCCTTTGTGCCACAAAAAAAACACTATGATTTATTATTTGACCCTAGTCTTTCCTGAAACACCTGTAAATATAGATGCTTATACAGTACAGTACTGTGTATCAGAGACAATAAGAAGACACACAGTACAAAAACCACCACAATGGTGGTAGTGGTGGCTTTCAAATCAACCACTACCACCATAGGCACCTCTCTGTATATATAGTGGTGATGGTGGAAAGGATGTACAGCAAGTGATGATGAAGATGGACTTTTAGAATTTCAGTGCACCAATTACAGTGTGCCACTAAAAAAAACCCCCCACTGAGCTTTAATACTTGACCATATAGTCACTCATCAAATACCTGTAAATATATATGCATATCAGAGAGAAGAAGATACATCACCAACTTACACACACAGTGTTTTCAAAGATTACCTTGCCCCTGCTAAAAGTAATTTGAATTCTCTCCCAAGACCATTAAAACCATGTACCTCCAAATAAGTCAGAAGATACAAGCACCCACTGACACTGGGTGACCACCAATGGTTCACTATAGTGTTGGTGCATTACTTTGGAATGGTGTCATGGCACAATTTTAAATGTCCTTTCACACCTACCAATTTGTTTTTTTTCTTCCATCAAACAATAAAAACCCCTGAAATATCTACCAATGAAGATACATACATGTCACAGGAAAACAACTGCCACTTTTACAATGTGTCTCCAAAAATTACCCTTGCAAAATACTGTACAATTGGTATGGCCTTTCAAAACCATCACTAGCATGTACAGTATATCCAAAGGCAGATAAGACACCCAAAGATACATGGGTACCACTTATGGCTCCTAATACCGCATTCACACTGTTTCTCCAAGA